AGATATTCAAATTTTAATTAATATAAATATATTATAAAAAATGTCAAATTTAATTCCATTTGTTCTTAATATTTTCTTCAATTTAATATTATATTATTTTAAATGAGTAAGCAATATCTTTATTAAGGCAAATGAAAGATATGAAAAATATGAAAATCAGATCTTTTATAGAATTTTAGAGAACTTCGATGAATCTAAAGCAGCCTTGGTCAATGCCGCGTGAAATGTTTTCCTTGTAAGATTCTATAAACAATCGTACGTTCTGAGCAACGGAACGAAAATATCTGCAGTCGTATTTGCCTTTCTGAGGCGGTAACCGGATACAAATTCCAATAGACCGGAACAGTTCCAGACGCGCGCATTATTACGCTGTCGGACATCAGAATTAGTATTCATATTGACATGCAACGAGGGAAGATCAATCTTTTGAAGAAGCAAAAGCGAGTGACGTGAATAGGATCGTCAATCCTATTATACATAGCGTCAATCAAAGACGAAATCACGGGTAATGCGCAAATTTGACAGAAATAAAGCGTTCGTTCGTCCACACAATTTATTTGCGATCCATCAAATAATTTTTCCTACTCTCTTTCAATTTCATTCGTTCATGTTTCGGCATATCATGCTGATGATAGTATAATAAAGTAGCCAATTAAATTAAATACAAAATTAGATATCAAGTTGTCTCCAGAAACCCTATTCTTGAGCACTATGAATAATTTTTGCATACGAAAAAGACAGTTTCTCGATTGTGATTGATCGATTGTATAGGAAATTGCTATTTTTGTATGCGATATCTGTTCAAGAATAGGGCTCCAGATCGAATTACATTGCGTTGATTCATTTTCTTATTAATTATCGATGCAATTCGCGATGCAATTGCCACAAACGAACGTACACAGTGGAGGTAGATGTCACCAGAAGTACATCTGTCGATATATCTCCCGACATGATTCTATTCTTCTTCATATCGAGAAAGATAATTCTTCATATCACTACGAATTGTCTATTAAGAGGGTGAATTTTGAATTATTCACAAAACTTCGGAAATCTCAAAGACAATAATTAATCTACGGCATTAGAATATTTCAAATGACATAGTAATTAATTTAAATGGGCATATTGTGATGAAACAATTAGATTTGCAAAGATAACTTTGAATTTTTTGTAACCCATTTTCAGAATCTATCTAAATCAATATTATCTGTTTAAGAGTTGAATATCTGTTTGCATGTATATATATATTTTATTTTGTATTGAAGTGCACGATAATCGCATATATAATAAATACAACGTATGCAATCGACGAGCACCTGGATTTGCACACAATGCATTATGCAGATTTTATTAATTATACGTGGTAAATGTTATATTGTTTCTAATTTGATATAGAACGCGTGCATAATTACTACATAGGATGATGTTTGCGACAAGCAGCATGCGGTAAACACGCGTTTGTACCGACCCGTTATTAATCATGTAACGTTCATACGCGAATTTTGTCGCGTCAGCAACAGGCGCAATGATTTCCCTGCCAGTTTGAGTTCTATAATTTGAGGTAAATGAAAGAATTACTTGAGCTAATATCCGTATTCATGAAAAATAAATTACATCTGTTTGTCAGCTAGAAAACTCAATACATGCAAATAATAGCTTTTAAAAAATTAAAAGTAACATTTTAAAAAACTATACACGCGCGATATATTCGCGAAAAATATCGGTTTAGAGATCTCACGCCGTACACAGAAGTGGCGCGTAAAGACAAATTTTCTGTAGCGTTCTTTTAAGGTCAAACGAGTTCTCGTTGTGAAAATTCTTAAGATTGAAGATTATCAGCTGTGAACGCGTGACGGAGTTGCGCCACGCTCGTGAGTTGCAAATTTGGCGCAAACAGAAATTTGTTTAAGTTTATTTTAACATCAATTCTATTTTTGCATAAAATCAATTATTAAATACATTAACAATTTGCGCGTAACAAATGTTACAAATAGATATTTACAACTATGTACTATGATACTACATATATTATTAAATAGATGCAGAATTAGGACAGAATCAAAGAAATGAATGCAATTAAATACATCGTGCGTTTCGTGTATTTATATAATCTTGTTTATCATTAATTTATTGATTGCTTCATTGCATTAACGTATCTTGAACTACTTTTGTCTATTATACTGCAATTATAAAA